CAACGATAGCAAGCTACGAGAAAGAATAAAGTCAAATGGGTTAAAACCTAAACTAAGGCAACACTACTCCGCTACCCTAGTTCTAAGCCTTCATAAATTCAAATGACAGAAACATATAAAAAGTAGAAGTCATGGAAATTACTACAAAGGAATTAAAAGAAGACAGAGATGATACACCCTATAGATGTGATCCATACTACTCGGCTACCCTGGTATTAAGTCTCCATACTTTCCTATCAGATGTCATGTCCTCGGTAAGGGCTAAATCCTTCAAATCAGATCTCAAGCAGTCTTCACACTTCCTTCTTGGTCGTCCTCTCCTTCTGACACCGTCGACTGTAATAGACTCTACCCTCCTAACCGCATCCGATGGTTGTCGCCGAAGGACATGCCCAAACCACCGTAGTCTTCCGTCCCTTAATTTTTCGAATACAGACACCACCCCTAAGGACATCCTAATAGTAGAGTTAGATATCATGTCCCACATAGTCCTACCACATGGCCATCGAAGCATTCTCATTTCTGTGCAGCCTTCATCCTCCTTACGTGATCCTTCTTAATTACCCAACATTCTGACCCATACAGTAGCTTTGGTCTTATTGTCATTCTATAAAATTTTCCCTTAAGTTTTAGAGGCACCTTCTTGTCATACAAAATTCCAGTAGCAACCCTCCACTTTAGTCATCCCGCCTTTATACGGTGTGTAACGTCATCATCTATACCCCCATCTTTATGTATCATAGAGCCTAGGTACTTGAAACAATTCTTTGATGTGAGAACGTGTCCTTCTATGCATACTTCTACATCTTCATCGTTTTGGTTCCCACTGAAGTTTGAACATAAATACTCTGTCTTTTCAATATTGATCCTTAGGCCTTTTTCTTCCAAAGCAGTCTTCCAGGTAGCCAGTCTACTATTCACCTCAGTTCTTGTTTCTGCAACTAGGACAATGTCATCAGCGAAAAGCTTACACCATGGAACACCGTCTGGTGTCGCACAATAGATGTCGTCTATAATCAAGGCGAAAATGTAAGGGCTAAGAGTCGACCCCTGGTGGAGTCTGATTTCCACCGGGAATGCCTCAGTGTCGCCAACTGTAGTCCTGACGTATGTAGTAGATCTACAGTACATATCACGAATCACCCGGGTATAAGCAGATGGGATCTGTCTAGTTTCCAACATCTTCCAGATCGTATCGCGGGGAATGCTATCATACGCTTTCTCAAGGTCAATGAACGCCATGTGAATATCTCTATTTTTTCCCCTATATTTCTCCATAAGCCATCGAAGTAGATGAATCGCCTCCGTAGTAGACCTGTCTGGCATAAAGCCAAATTGGTTTTTCGAAACCCTAGTAACCTGTCTCAACCTAGCCTCTATCACCCTTTCCCATAGCTTCATGGTATGGCTGAGTAATTTAATACTTCTGTAGTTGCCACAACGTTGAGGATCTCCTTTATTTTTATAGATTGGTATCACCGTAGACTCTCTCCACTCCTCAGGCATCTTGGCAGTCTCTAAAATAATATTAAAGATATTGGTCAACCACTTAACTCCCTCTTCTTCTAGGGCCAACCACACAGTGATAAGAATTTGATCTGGACCGACAGCTTTGTCCCTCCCCATCTTTCTAAGAGCCATTTTGACTTCCTCAAACCCAATCCTACTTGTAGGGCAGTCATTGGCCGTAGTATGATGGTCGGCTGACCCATTAATGGTACTATCTCTACAGGGAGAGGCACCGTCATTAAATAAGCATAAGAAGTAACTACCCAAACCCTCTTAATATCATGATCTTTCACTAAAAGAACACCATTGTTGTCCTTAATAAACCTAATGCTACCTAGATCTTTTTTCCTATTCTCTCTGGATTTTGCAAGCCTGAAGATGTCATTTTGTCCTTCCTTGGTGTCTAATCTCTTGTACATTTCCTCGTATGCCTTATCCTTTGCTTTAGCCACCGTTTTCTTGGCTTCCCGCTTTGCCTCCTTGTATCTTTGTTTGGCTCTCGATCTTTCTTCGTCGTCATTGCATTGTAGAAACTCCTTGAAGCAAGTTTGCTTTGTCTTCACCTTAGTTTGGTCTTTGTCGTTCCACCACCACGATTCTTTATATTCATTGACCTTCCCTGTCGACAACCCAATGGTGTTTTTGCCTACCTCTCTGATGGAATTTGTCATATTTTTCCATAACATATCTGCATTATTAGAGTTTGTAGTTCCAAAACATGTATTTGACATAACCTTACTCCTAAAGTCATCAGCTGTCGCTCCATTTAAGTTCTTCCAAAGGATCCTAGGTTTACCAAGTTTAGCCCTCCTATTAGTGCTCCGCCCGTGGCGTACGCGGAACACCAAAACCAACAATCTGTGTTGTGATGCACATGACTCTTCAGGGAACACCTTACAGTCAATGCAAGCCCATCGATCCCGATTTCGAACCAGGATGTAGTCGATTTGGGTACAATGTTCACCGCTATGGAACGTAATCAAGTTCAAATCTCTCTTGTTAAAGAATGAGTTAGTGACCACCATATCGTGTGCAGTAGCAAAATCAAGCAACGTACGCACCTCCTCGTTCCTACTACCAAAACTGAAACCCCCATGAACACCGTCATACCCGTCGGTTGCACTACCTATATGGCCATTGAAGTCTCCTCCTATGAAAACTCTTTGGTTATCTGGAATGCTCCTAATAACATCATCTAACTGATCCCAGAAGCAACGTTTCTCCCCCTCCCCTAGGCCAACGTGTGGGGCGTATACTGAAAGGACATTCACCACTTCCGCTTCTATAATAACCTTAATCATCATGATTCTGTCCCGGTATCTACAAACTTCAACTACATTTTCCTTGAGCCTAGAGGAAACCAAGATACCCACCCCATTTTTAGCGTTATCTACGCCTGAATACAACAATTTGTACCCATTACACTCTCTGGCGTGAGCCCCTTTCCACCTAGTCTCCTGAATACATGTAAAATCTATTTTCCTAATACTAAGTACGTCGGTCAGCTCTACCAGCCTAGCATTTAATGTGCCTATATTCAACGAACAAACTCTAAGTCTAATCTCCTTGACACCACTCTGTCGAGCCCTCCCCCTATACACCCTGTAGGATCTAAAAGAAGGACACGACCTCAAGTAATCATCTATAGCCGAAGCTATGTGGAACTAACAATAAATAGTATTAATAAACTGGTTAATAAAAACCCAACTGATACAAGTCAGATCTCCAGGCAATTATTATTAATATTTGAAATTAAAAAAGAAATCCAATATAATCAAGACCTCAATTTTATCAATCAATAATCCAAATCCGAACAAATTATAAAAAATCCAAATAGAACAATATGCAAGCAATTACAACCTCAACAGTATCAACCAATAATCAAAAGAAAATCAACAAAAAAAAAAATCAAAACCCAACACTGAAAAGTACCAGAAGAGCCAAAAACAGAAATCAGAACCTGAAAATTTACGGATCAATACAAATCTATTCAGATCCACAACCAATTAGCTTGATTCAAAGTTCTAGTTCAAGTTTCATAACCAAAAGATTAGCACAATTTACATATAAACCGAAAGAGACAACTCGGCAAGCAGATCTGTTTTTGTTAAACTAATGAAAACGAGCTCAGCCTAGTGATATGGAAAGTAAATGTTTTGATTCACGGGGGGAAATAATGTAGAATTACAACTATCTTAGAAAAACAAAAGATTCAGATCAACAGATCTACTCAAACAAAAATTTAAATAAACAAAGTGGGTATTCAATATCTTTATAGATCTACCGAGCTTACGACAAGTTATGTAAAAATAGAAACAAAAAAGAAAAGAAGATAAGATCTAAATTTCTAAAATTAGGTTTCGCTACAAACTAGACTGCTGAGGATAATAATAATTTTCACAAGATTGGTTAAGAAGAAACTACTGGTATTGCCAGGTTCACGGCAGAGATATTTCGGCAGATACCAGTCCCTGCAGCTTAAAGAAGAAAGGAAATGGGGAGAGAAGAGACTTGTACTAAAAATTGCAGTACTGAATCTGAAACTCTAAAGAGAAAGAACAATATATACAATTCAAACAAAACAATTAGAAAATTGAAAGAAGCAATCAAAACATCAAGATTATGAAAACATAAACGATTTAAAAACTGAATCAAGTAAAAAAGTAGTGGAAAGTGACGTATGAGAGTGTTTAAATTTCAATTTCTTCAAATAATCCAGAGTTCTTAGGTAATAATAATAATAATAATAATAATAATAATAATAAATAATAATAATAATAATATTTAATAATATTTTTTTATCCAGACAAAAACGAGTTTCTACACAAACCTAAACATAAATCTTCGTAACTTGCCAATTCAGTTCATAAGAGACGTATGAGTTCTTCCACCTTTTATTTTGTGTTATGTATAATGAATTTGTTAGGAATTTGTAGGTGAAAGTAAAAAATCAAAAATATAATATTAAATAACATATGCATAAGTGATGATATCAAACATAATTTGACTTTTTTTTATTTTCACGAATGAAAAAAATAATAATTCATCATAAATATAAAAATTATTAAAAACACAAATATATAATATCTAATTTATCCTGAAATTTAATATATATCAAAATTCCGTTAACGGCAAATCGCTCCCCACTTAATTATTACAAAGTTCTTTACATGTTAATGCTTTATTTTTATAAAATTTAATATATATTTTCATGTCAACGTGTTCTATTATATTTTATTTTGATAAACTTATTTATCATAAACATATAAGAGAGTAATTGGACTAAAAATTTGATTTTGAGTTGGATCCTGTTAAAAATCCATCCTTTTTCTCCTTTTGTTTTCTTCTCTTTCTCAGCCCAAATCCCAATCCAGAAAACCCTAGTCAGAATAATATATTTATCAGATTTTCTTCCAAACCCTATTATCATTTCACTACTCTCTGCCGCCTCCGAGAGAGAGTTTTCATAGCCACACTGACCTTTCACCGAAATGGGTCGAGTCATCCGAGCTCAACGTAAGGGTCCGGGTTCCGTCTTCAAGGCCCACACCCACCACCGAAAGGGTCCCGCCAGATTCTGCAGCCTCGACTTCGGCGAGCGAAATGGCTACCTCAAAGGTGTCGTCACTGAAGTTATCCACGACCCAGGCCGTGGTGCGCCGTTAGCTCGAGTAGTGTTTCGTCATCCTTTCCGTTACAAGAAGCAGAAGGAACTGTTCGTCGCTGCCGAGGGCATGTACACTGGACAGTTCGTGTACTGCGGTAAGAAGGCTACCCTTGTGGTCGGAAACGTATTGCCTCAACTCAACGTCGACCATCACGTTGGAGATTGTGGGGTTTTCGCTAGGGCTTCTGGTGATTATGCTACAGAAAATAATTTCAGTGACAAAAAATGCCTTATAATATACGATTTTAACCAATTTTTTTTGGATTCGCCAAAATAACCAACTAAATCGCAATGCGATCGATAATTCGCAACGCGATCTCCGGTATCGCAAATCAGTTTCCAGATTCGCAACGCGATTTTGACTATCGCATTGCGATTTCCCAAATTCACGTTGCGATTTCCTTAATTCGCAATGCGAATACGTAAATCGTAATGCGAATCTGACTATCGCAATGCGATTTACATAGCGCCATTCGTATTAACGCGTATTTTTTTTTCAAATTCCAAACACGATTTTCTTAATATATCGGAAACTGAACGGTCCACAGTATATCCCGTAATCGCAACTCATAACCTAAAACCTAAAATCACAACTCAGTCTCATCTCCATCTCTCACTCTCTCTCTACGGGGAAATCCATCCCCATCTCCGAAGATTTTCGTCCCCATCGCCGGCGAAATCCCTCACAACCATTCACGGTCAGAAATCCCTCACAATCATTCAGAAATGGAAAATCAACCTCCGAGGGTTAGTTTTTTTAATTATTTTTATTTTGAAAATTTTGCATTATTTTAGGTTTTTCATATTGAAATTGATGATAAGTTTACTGGTAATTTCAATAATAGATTAACCATTTCACTTAAATTTCTTATTAAATTCATTCGATTGCTGTCAATACTGCTAAATTGTTTAGTCTTTAACCCTCTGAAGTTAGTATTTGTCTTTGTTTTGTCTTTTGATTGAAGTAATGCAGAAGAAGAATAGTTTCTAAACTTAAAATCGCAACATAAAAATGAAAATCGCAACACGAAAATGACTATCGCAACGAGAGAAATGAAAATCGCAACGCGAAATGAAAATCGCAACGCGAAACCAAAATCGCATTGCGATTTTCATTTCGCGTTGCGATTTTCATTTCTCTCGTTGCGATAGTCATTTCCGCGTTGCGATTTTCATTTTCTCGTTGCGATTTTCATTTCAACCAAAAGACAAAACAGTGTTGCAAATTTTAGTTTCAAGAATAAACTACTATTTATGTTTATTGTTTTTGGTATATCTTCACAGTGTAGTTTTTGGTATATCTAACTTGGTATGTTTATTGTTTTTGTAGAAATTATTTTCGGCTTCATTGACATTAAGGAATAAAGTTAGCCTAGCCACTACAATTGCTTCGAAGCTTTCACCTGCACAAAGAAAATTGTTTGAGGAAACCTGCTTCGGGCCATGGCTGAGAGTACAGCATCCGGGTGGAGATGCTAATTTGACCCATTTGTGGCTTCAGACCATGACTAGCGATCTACCCGACAGTATACAACGTGGTGAGGAAGAGATATGGTTTCATTTTCCACCGGCGTATACTTGTTTTGGGCGGAAGGAGTTCTGCTTAATCACTGGTCTACGATTCAGACACGATGATGTAGGCCGGTACACTCGTCATATCACCCGCCCATCATGGTTATCCAGGGTTTTTCCTGATGAGTCAATAGAGAAGCCGAACTTACACGTCGACGACCTGAAGAAATTTTTTAATAAGAAAGATGGTTTTACTCGGATGAATGACGTCGATGTTGTCCGAGTATGCCTTCTACTACTTTTGTATGCCGACTTTTTAGGCAGAGAGGCCAGACAACCTATTCCTTAGGAGCTAATATTATTGGTAGAGAACCTAAATGCATGGAATCTGTTTCCGTGGGGTTCGTATATATGGAAAGCTACCTGGACTAAGTTGTCGTCTGCCTTTGATGACCGCAAAAGTTTGCGTGGCGATGGGTCGAAATACACTTTGTCAGGCTTTGTTTGGGCCTTTAAGGTAAGAATTTCTATATAATGTTTTCAAAATTATAATTAATTATTTAACAATTACTAATGTTTGTTATTATATTGTTTGTAGATTTGGATATTCGAGGCTTTCCCCAGCATGCGGACATATGCATTAAAAACTTCAAATGATATTCCTAGGGCTATTTCCTGGAAGAGGAAACGTCTGTTGGATTGGTAAGACTTAATACCATATGCGACAATAAATAATGTAAGTTAACACAAATACTATCATATATAAACAAGTTATTAATAGTAGACGTTTAACTTTGTTTGAGTTTTTATATTTTTAGGAGGCCAACACTCCATTAATGAGATTGACACCCACGGAGGCTGAGCTTGCCACTGATTGGTGGCAAGCTAGTCAGCGTTTTCTTGATGGCACGAATGATGAGCAGCCTCCACTTCCTCCACTTTGAGAGCCATCACCTCACCTAGAGCCATCACCTGATCGACCCGACTATACACCTCTACAACGAGAGCCATCACCTATCCCGACACATCATCGAGCCTCTTCTCCACCATCACCTCATGATAGGCGAACGACAAAGATGCCACGACTTCTATCTCCCTGTTCTCCACCTCCACCTCCACGGGATGAGTCAAGAGAATTACGTGATGAGGTCAATGCCTTGCGTGAGGAGATCGGCACTCTAAGCGATAACGATGGTGCATGGCGTGTGGAGGTGTCTACTTTACGTGGTGAGGTTGCCGCTCTACGTGAGATAGTAGTATCGTTGTAGAATGAGGTTCATACTCTACGCAACGAGGTAAGTTTAAGATTTTTCATATCTAACTTGATGATAAATTTACTCGTAATTTCACTTAGATTAACCATTTCACTTAGATTGCTTAGTAAATTTATTCGGTTGCTGCCAATACTGCTAAATTGTTTATTAACACTGTGAAGTTAGTATTTGTCTTTTTTTTTGTCTTTTGGTTGAAGTAAATTTATTCGGTTGCTGCCAATTCTGCTAAACTGTGTATTCTTTAACACTGTGAAGTTAGTATTTGTCTTTGTTTTGTCTTTTGGTTGAAAGTAAATTTGATCGGTTGCTGCCAATTCTGCTAGACTGTGTATTCTTTAACACTGTGAAGTTAGTATTTGTCTTTATTTTGTCTTTTGGTTAAAGTAAATTTGTTCGTTTGCTGCCAATTCTGTTAAACTGTGTATTCTTTAATACTCTGAAGTTAGTATTTGTCTTTGTTTTGTCTTTATGTTGAAGTAATGCAATCCATTCAAGTTTCAATTTGCAGAAGAAGAAGAAATAGTTTATTCTTGAAACTATATTTTAGCAACACTATTTTGTCTTTTGGTTGAAATGAAAATCACAACGAGAGAATGAAAATCGCAACGCGAAACGAAAATCGCAATGCGAAATGAAAATCGCAACGACAAAATCGCAACACGAAACCAAAAATCGCTACGCGAAACTATAATCGCATTGCGATTTTAATTTCGCATTGTGATTCTCTCGTTGCGATTTTTATTTCGCGTTGCGATTTTCATTCTCTCGTTGCGATTTTCATTTCGCGTTGCGATAGTCATTTTTCACGTTGCGATTTTAAGTTCCAGAAACTATTATTCTTCTGCAAATTGAAACTTGAATGAATTGCATTACTTCAACCAATAGACAAAGACAAATACTAAGTTGACAGTGTTGCAAGTTTGAAACATATTTGCCTTTGTTATCTGATGCATTTTGTGAACTATGATAGAATAATGACTTGGGTGAATTCAATGCAAGTTTGAAACATATTTGTCTTTGTTTTCAATGTTTAAATATCATGTTTGTTTATTTACTGATTTTTGTATTTAATTATTTAGAGGCCCGATAAGGTGGATGCTTTACGTCGGGTTTTTCTTACATGATAGAGTTCACGCATCAGACGGCGTGCACGTGCTATTAAGTCTCCGTACACCCCAATAGTGCGAAGACACCGTAAGAAGAAGCCTGACTCGCCTGTCATCCCTCAAGAGTCCACTCCTATCGTTGAAGAGGCCCCTATCATTCCTCGAGAGTCCCCTCCCACCGTTCAAGAGGCCACTGTCATTGTTGAAGAGGTGCCTCCCACCATTCAAGAGCCCGATTCACATGGCGTCATATGTAAGATTCTTGAGAAACCCTCTGACGTGCCGGACATGATGGATGAGAGTTGGCTCTCGTATGAGTTACCGGCCAGTACCATACCGGTATCTGAAGTGGAGAGGAGACAACTACCAGACACAATTCTGGATAACACCCTTTGGGCTAAGACCGTAGTTGATTTTTATGTACATGAGCAGAGCCAGGGGTGTTTCACTGACATATGCAAGCTCAACGATGATATCTATTTGTTGCTTGATCGGTCTTGGTGGGGCGTATTATTAGGGGTCGAAGACAATGGCTATTTCAATGGAGGGGTAAGTCTTATATTTTACTTATATTTCAATTTGATTTTTTTTTTAAATTTATGTAAGTTACTAATATATGTCTTTTTTTGTAAAACAGCATATCGATACGTGGGTGTCACGTCTTCTAATAATTAGGAAACTTAAGGAAAATAAAAGAAATACACGATATACAATTATGCCGACGTCTTTTAACGCCGTTCACTTGAAGAATCAATGAGATGAATCATTTGCGTTGGGCAATGGACAAGCTAAACTTTATCCTGCATGATGGGAGGTCGATAAGGTTAGTATTTATTTTAGATTGAGTTTAAAGGTATTCATAAATAAGTGCGCAAATGAATGAATTATTACTTATGATTGCAGGTGTTTATCCCTGTTTTGGAACGTAAACATTGGCTTCTCGTCGAGCTTCAGCTCCCATCCCTTAAGGCAATAGTATATGATAACATGATAAATTACATATCATTGGCTGATTTAAGAGATATTATTAAGGGATGGAGCTCTCATTTGGCTAAATTCTTGGATGCGATAAATTATTGGACTCGTTCTGGAAACAAGAAGCCAAAGAAGCTCAATATTACAGTTAGCAGAGACGAGACCGCACCACAACAAACGAAAGGACCCAGAGGGGATTGTGGTCCTCTCGTATGCTTGGCGTTGGAGCGTTTGATCACAGGAAGTATAAGGTATCTACCTCCCACCGATAGAGATAGAGCTGCAGTAGGCTTGTGGTTTCGGCATTATATGGCTAGATCGATATATACAAGACGCTGCCTACCTGCATCCGCGTTATAAAAATGTCCATAAACAATTGGTAAGTTTATAGGCTTTTGGTTTGAAAATGTTTGGTTAAGTACCTAGAATTCAATAATTTGATGTTTGTAGGTTTTAGATGTGTAGAAAGTGTTGTTTGAGCAAATGTTTGGTTTCTGCAGGTTAATCTCAGAAGTGAGCTGCGTGAAAATGATGTATGGCTGTAAAAGTTGATTCAATAGTACATGAGGAAATAAGAATTATTGCTTATTTTTTTATTGTTTAATTGATTTGTAAAAGATGATTTGTAAAAGTTGATTTGTTTAATTGATGTGAACATAATTCTTATTTGTGCTTGTTTAATTGATTGAAATGTAATGGTTTATTTTGTTGATTTCAATCTGCATTATGTTGAAGGCAAAAATGACTATCGCAATGCGAAATGAAAATCGCAACGAGAGAATCGCAATGCGAAATGAAAATCGCAATGACAAAATCGCAACGCGAAACTAAAATTGTAACGTGAAACTAAATTTGCGTTGCGATTTTCATTTCGCTTTGCGATTCCCTCGTTGCGATTTTCATTTCGCATTGCGATTCTCTCGTTGCGATTTTCATTTCGCATTGCGATTCTCTCGTTGCGATTTTCATTTCGCATTGCGATAGTCATTTTCGCGTTGCGATAGACATTAAGATGATTGTGAACGTCATTTCCGTGTTGCGATAGTCAAATGAATGCCTAATAAGTGATAACAACTGAACAGATCATAACAATTTTCAAACTCAAGTTACTAATACATGCCTAACTGAAAATGTTAAAAGTTCACACATAAAATCCATATAATACAACGTTTGCATTTAAAATCACCTAAGTTAACAGTCCCAAAAGGTGAAGCCGGTTGTGATTGGGATTTTAAAGATGATTGCAATTTTGATTGCCTTTTGCTTGACACCATATGAGCTTTGGATTTTGATGAGGATCCATATTTTGGTAGAGGAAAAGATGACTGTGATGGCACTGGTGATCCACATGTCAACCTTGTATGACCACTTTCCTTGCACCGACTACATGTCGATCTCTTCTTCTCTTCACCCTTAGACGGTATACGATCGTGACTTTTTGGTCGACCAGGTAGCCTTCTGTCCATGGCTGGTGGCAAAACTATTTGTAAGTCATCTGGTATGTCCCACTCAGAAGGATGTGGAATAGGGTAGACAATCTCGCCATAAGTCTGTCGATATACTTCTGTAGTGTAGCAATCCATAGCGTATGCGCTTGAATCATCTTGGTTTAGATGAAGAGAAACTTTTATAACATGGCCACACGGATAACCAGATGTTTGCCATTTCATACAACTACACGTCTTTGCATTTAGATCGACAAGCCCATTTAAGTTATTATCCAGTACTTCGAACAAAGTGTTTGAACATGGTTCAACTCTCCATGACGTTGACTTCACAACACGTTTCGTTATCTTTTTTTCTGTCCATGGTGTAACACGATGTTCCAATGTTCCTGTAAATTTAAATAAATAATACTTAGTAAAATATATGATAAGTTACGAATTTAAAGAAATAATACCTACATGGTTTCTTTTCTTGTAGTACCACTGTTGAATAGAGGCTCAAAAAAACTCCATTAACATAGTAATGGGTAATTTCCGGGAATGACGACTTAGAGCGTTGATTGATTCTGCACTATTAGACGCCATGAAACCATATCTTGCTCCAAGTTGATGTACTCTTGACCATCTTTCAAACCCGACATCTTCTAGTGTTTGAGCACACTGAGGCAAAACACGTCTTAAACAGTTTATATGCTTATTAAAATCCACTTCCCGATAAGCTTTTACAGCCTTCCTGTATGTCCATTTGTGATTTTTTATACCAGCAGACCTTGATTTTAGATTTCTATACAAATGAACACCACAAAGTCCATAAAAAGCATCTGGGAAACACCTTCTAACAGCGTTGTCAATTGAGTTTGCCCTATCGGATATGATTGTCAGATTGCTAATAAGACCTATGCAATCCCTAAGATGCCCCATAAACCATGTCCATGAATCAGAGGTTTCAGATTTTCCAACCCCGTAAGCTATTAGCAGTATCCCATTGTTAGCATCCATGGCTACTGCTAATAAGTTTACTCCAAGGTATCGACCTTTTAAATGTGCTCCGTCAACTATAATAACTGGGCGCATGTAGTTAATAAACGAACGAATCTACAAAATCATATACACAAGAAATATAATCATTTAAATGTGAAATGCATGTAACTAACAAAAATGAGTCAACAAAATTATATTGATTTACTAACCGCAGCACCAATGGCGATAAACAGCAACTCAAAGCGTCCATCTCTATATGTTTTGATATGAGTTACCGACCCAGGATTTTTCAGCTTTAAATTGTGACAATAAGCCGGCAGTTGGGCAAACGATACTTCTGGCGACCCCCTCAACAATTCCAAGGCATAACATTTGGCTCTCCAAGCTTGAGAATATGAGATACTAATCTTCAACCGAGCATTCATGTCAGTCATAATTTCATGTCCCCGATATACCCTACCATTCAAAAATATTAACTCAGCCAGAAAACCACCCAACACCTTTTTGTTTGCCTGTCTATGGTGAGGAAAAACTTGGGTTCTTGAACATGTATGTTTATCAATAAAAGTCCTAACTTGAAACATTTCGCAATCTTTTATCCTCTTTGCAATCATACGCCATATACAATTTTTGTCAATCATACACCTTGTTTCGAAACGATATTTGCTTGATTTGTTAACTTTTAGTTGATAGCTATCTTCCACACATTTCGTATACAAAGCTATCTTCAAGTCTTCCTTTGTATCAAAACAATCATCTTTCTTGATACGAATAATTTTTGTGTGACAATCAACTGCTATCTTTACCAACTCTTCTTCCGGTATCTGAAGTAATTCTGGCATATTCCAGTTATACTCCCGTGGTATTTTCTTCGGGGACTTTTCTTTGGAGATTTCTTCTTCTTCTTTTTCTTCTTCAGTGTTATATGAATTACAGAATGGATGTTCAACATGTTCATTTACAGTCGTAACTTCCTCCTCATTATCATCAACAACATCTTCCTCGGCAACGGCTGTTTCATCATCAAAGTTCGGGTATTGACCAATATCAAAATCATTACACGCAGGGTCTGTTTCTTCTTCTGAAAAATCATCAAAATCTGAGTATTGACCAAGATCAAAGTCCGGGTATTGACCAAGATCAAATTTCGAATACTGACTAGTACTCACAATTTTTTTTGTTGGCTCATCATCGTCTAACTGGTCAATACGAAAACCGGAATTTGGTGCTGAAAGTTGATTGGGATTTGGATTAGGGAAAGGTTGTGGGTTTTGAGATTGTGTTTGGTATTGGAAATGTGGTGAAACAATATTTGCTTGGTGATGAAATTGTTGTGGAACCATTAAATTTTGAGCACCATTAATTGGGGTTGAAAAACTTAGTTGATTACTACCCGCTACTGACCCAACTTCACTACTTCTAGGTTCAACAACATACAATGTAATATCATCACTTGAAATACTAATGTAAGCAATGAATCGTTCAACATCTTCATTGTCGGTTAATAAATAAACTTTACCATTTCTCTGATAAGATAGCCTAAATCCACTTAGGGGCTCTAAATTCAATTTATTTGCAACACGTAACATTAGAGTTTCATAAGTTAACTTTTTTAATGACAGTTTTAGTTGAAGATTCATGGGTAAAGGCATATATTGTAAAACACCATGAACATTCTCCCATGACCCTCCAAAACACAAATATATCCAAACATGATCAACATTAGATGATTTCACTATTGTAAATTAATTTACTAAACAAACGAGCTGCGAAACTAAAACCTGTTGCCGGATGGGGAAGGATGTCGTTGGATATAGGAACGGATGTCGCCAGAGAGAGTGATAGATGGAGATGGAATAAGTTGTGATTTAGGGATTTAGGTTATGAGTTGCTGCTGCTGCGTATTTATATACCCAAAACATTTGTGTTGCGAAATTAAAACCTGTTGCGAATTCAGAAATCGAGTTGCGAATTTGAAATTCAGTATTGCGATAGTCAGAATCTCATTGCGATTTACTAAATCGCAATGCGATTACGTAAATCGCAATGCGATTACGTAAATCGCAATGCGATTACGTAAATCGCAATGTGAATACGTAATCGCATGCGATTTTCCTAATTCGCATTGCGATTTAGGAAAATCGCAACGCGAATTTGGGAAATCGCAATGCGATAGTCAGAATCGCGTTGCGAATCTGGAAACTGATTTGCGATACCGGAGATCGCATTGCGATTTAGTTGGTCATTTTGGCAAATCCAAAAAAAGTTGGTTAAAATCGTATATTATAAGACATTTTTCACAAGGTTCTTAACCTTGAGGTCGTGGGATCGAGTCCCACGGAGGGCATTTCATAATTCGGAGGTCTCTTACGGAAGCTGCTCTCAACCTGGTGTTGGGGGTAGCCTACTATCTTACCTCCCCTTACCCCATACATATGGAAAAAAGGGCCAGCCAGCCATTTTTTGTCACTGAGGTTATTTTCTCATTATGCTATTGTTATTAGTCACAACCCTGATAACGACACCACCAGGTACCTAACTTCTACTCTTGTATTTGGTTTTGATTTCATTGCTTTAAATGCATTTATGATAAAGAACTCCATAGATTTGGTAAATCTTTAGAAGTAGCGACTGTTCTTCAATTATATCCCGTAAGCACATACATTAGTTTTAGATTGACGAATTGTGTTAGTTTAGCTTGTATTCGTTTCTGGCTTTTCATGTTAAATTTCATAGCCTTTTGGTTTAGTTGATTATCACTTTCCTTTTCATGTGACATTAGGCCTGTTTGATGGCTGTGAGTTGGGATTTTTTTGGGTCCAGTCAATGTGTATTGGATTAATTTGAGTTTTGAAAATTTTGGGTCATTTTGATTGAGTCACTTTCGGGTTTGGAGCATCGGTTTTTGGATTTGATGAATTTGGGTTGAGCAATTTGTGTTTGAATCAGTTTTGTTTTGGACTGTTGGCTTCAGGGTTTCAAATCGCGGTCGCGTTTTCGGTTATTTCGGATTTACTGTGATTGCGGCCGTCGCGGGTGACTCGGACGGCGGCGAAACCGCTATATCGTGGCCGAAATCGCGGTCGCGGACCGTTTTTTAAAACCCTGGTTGGCTTTCTTGTTCAAGTCAAGTTGGGTAGGGATTTGGGTTTGTATTGGTGATGTTATGTTTTCTGTTTCAGGCCAGAATTGATTGGTCTATGTGAAATTCATAATCAAATTCATTTCTGCATGCTTCAATCGATTAGCCTTTGGGCTAAACTGGCATTTGGAAATGGAGTTTAAACTAGGATCCAAAAAGTGGTTAATTGCATTTTTCTGTGAGAAGTTGGACTGATTAATTACGTATGAACATGGCATGGGGGTGAAAGTTTGGAGTAATGGGTTGTTTTGATGGTTGATCTTACAGGATCAAGCTCCCATCTGGTGCGAAGAAGATTGTTCCGAGTGGTTGTCGTGCCATGATTGGGCAGGTCGCTGGTGGTGGTAGGACTGAGAAGCCTCTTCTCAAAGCTGGTAATGCTTACCACAAATACAGGGTGAAGAGGAACTGCTGGCCTAAGGTGCGTGGTGTGGCAATGAACCCAGTCGAGCATCCACATGGTGGTGGTAACCATCAACACATCGGTCATGCTAGCACTGTTAGACGTGATGCTCCTCCTGGACAAAAGGTTGGTCTTATTGCTGCAAGGAGGACCGGTAGGCTCAGAGTTCAAGCTGCTGCTACTGCTGCCAAGGCTGATAAGGCTTAGGGTAAAGGATATTACTTGGTTTTGGGTTTTTATAATTATGTTGAAGAGTATCAAGTACATTTCTGTTTTAGAATATTTGGTTGAATTTTCAGATAATTGTACTGTTTCGAGTTTGAGGAATATCTTATGGTTTCAGTTTGGATATTTTCTTGTTTCATTTCATGTTCTTAATCTTCTTTTCTGTGTAGCATTATTAATAATGTTTAACAACGAAGGTAAGGGCAATCTTATCTCAGGCTTAAGGAGGGAAATGTTTTTTAATCAAATAATATTAACATATTATTAAGATTTATAATCAAATAAGATTGACTTTGTAACACAATTAATCTGTATATGTTTCGATATACGAGTCAAAGATGTCACATCAACATGAAAATATTTACTGAACTGAAATTTCCCTAAAAATTTGTTTCCTTTAAAAAAACACTCTTATTCTAACTTTAAAAATCTATTCAATGTATATCTCAACTTATAATTTATTTCTTTATTACAGGAAAATAAAAACATTTGTTAATCAGTAATTTTACTAAACTGTCTTTTTTTTAAAATTTTTAAAAACATAATAATGTAATAAATTCTTGTCATGCAAAGAAATCGATAAAACTAAACTAAGTAAAATAAACTAAAATAGTTCTAGTTTACTATTACAAATTATTTAAAATAAATACGATAAATAGAAACTACTGACATAATTATACATGCCACTATAAGTTAAAAGAAACATCATAGATGTCTTACTGATACTGATGATATGTATGTATTTCCAAAAAGATGCTCTGATGGTTCCTTGCTGATCATACTTATCCTTATTAGAACCTACGCATGAAAATCATCACGCGCTAAGTATAACTTAGTGAGGCAGTAATAATCTAAGGTGAGAAAAATCTGAAAAATATCATAAACATAAATAAAATAATTCAACTTAAAACATTAAACTGGCAAACCAACTTATCCAAGTCGATTTCTTCACAGAGACCTGAAATTTCTTTTTAAATCATGAACTCATGAAAATTCTGATAAATAATATATGATAAAATATGCATATCATGCTTTCTGTCAACTGAAAATCATTCACAACTTGTATATTCATTTTCATAGCCCAATGCATATTTATGAGAACATAAGATACGTGAGTAAGGTGTGTACTATGCACAACACAGTGCAAATCGTAACTAATATTGAGATATGATGCACTTCAGTGCCATTATAACCTGAATAAGCACCAACAGTGTTAGACATTGATACACGAATGTACCAAAGCTGATATGATAACATTGATACACGAATGTACTAAAGATGATAATGGATAAATACTCAACTAATGACATGCCAAGTGTACCAACAGTTCTCACTATAACACACAATGGACTGATGTATCATAATAAATCAATTAGAATAAATCTATCATAAAAATATCATACTTGGGTAGTTCATACCCTAAATCATTCATAAAACTGATATAGAATATTATAAAAATATTCTTTATAAACTTTATAAATCATACTGCAAATTGGAATGAGGTTGACTTATCGCAAGTCGTCCTCGATCAAAATAATTAAATAAATAACTGCACTCACCTTTACCTCACTACATAACTTGTATATAATAATCCTAGTCACAAGCTTTGTCCTTTCCTTTCGAATCTTTCGGATTGCTAGATTTAACGTAGTATGATAATATCAAATTATAACACAAAAATTGTTCGAACTACATATTAGTATCGTACTAATATAAGCTCATTTTAACATTTAAAAATCTATAAAATAAAATCGATAACTAAATCTATATCAACCAAACTCATAACTCCATTATAACTTTAAACTTATCAAAACACTTATGCAATTTCGTAAATAATTATTCCCAACATGATTCGTCAACTTTTACCAATTATAAAATTAAACAACATATTTTAAATTCTTTCTAGAATTCAACTCAACTTTTCCTTTAATTCATAATGATCCTTCACCATTATGATAATTGTACATTAATTACTAAAATTCCAGCACTTGAATAAAATACTCAAATGAATTCTTCTATATTCAAAACATTATAAATTTCAACCCAAACTTTCCTAAACTTTCGATTTTCAACACTTAGCTTTATAAATTTGTAATTCAACCTCAACTCAATATTTAATTCAAAATTCAGAATACTTATAAATTTTCCAGCATTCGAAAATTTACTCAAATAATACTTCTCCATTTAAGAACTTGCAAACGAGTCCCCAAAGTTTTGGAACCTTTCGGATTCCACCATCTAACCATTAAAATGAATTCTTTTAGAATTCTTCTCAACATTTCCAATTTATTCAAAATGGTCTCTTTCCATTTAACTTCAATTCCAAGCATTCAAAAATATACTCAACATTTAAACATTACTCTTCATCTTCTAATCCATTTCAACTTAAATTCTAAAATTTCCATATTCAGACAACTTGCACTACCTTTAAATAATCAGTATTCTGTATTGATATACACACTGGAATTTAATTCTGTTTCTTCCGTTAAAAACTAGACTCGAATATGAATCTATCCATATAAAGAACTCCTTCTAATTCATTCTTTAAAATTTATGGTGAATTTTCAAAGTTGACTGACAGAATCTGTTTTGTGCAGAATCTGCTGCCCGTTTTTCTGATCTTTCCTCGGTTAAAAATTCATATCTTTTTGTATACAAGTTGAAATTGATCCCCGTTTATTTTAAACAAAACTAGATTGATATACGAACACAATATATAAAAAAAACCTCCAAATAATATTTATATAATTTCTGGTGAATTTTCAAACTCACAGTCAGATTCAAAATCTAAACTGTTTTCATTAACTTCATCCTTAGATTCTTCATCAATTCTTACAACTAATTCTTTAAAATCACTTAATTCTTCATAACCCCTAAAACACAAGAATTCAACATCCCCTTCATCAACTCAAGATGAACTTGAACGTAAACCCTAGTGATATTCATGTCAAAACGTAAAAAATTGAACGTATAACATTTTTTCTAACTACACCGAAGTCTAATTCTAAAAAAAATAGCTTCAAAAATGAAAATAAAAAATCTTACGTTGCTGTGTAGACTTGGCAGTAGCTGAAGATAGAGAGAGAGAGTTTCGTGAGATTTCTTGAAAAAAATCTCCCCCTTATCTTTAATATATAATTAAAAAATGAATTTTATATTCATTTTGGGTCAAAAACCCAAATTACCCTTGATAAATTCCCACAATTACCTCCATGCCACTCCTTCATCTCTATTTTAATATTATTAAAATAGCTGTAAAATTCTCATCTCTCAAATTTTCATTTTGACCCTTCAATTTTCTAAAATTTCAATTTAGTCACTAATTTTTTAAAACTTACATTTTAGTCACAAAACAAAATTTGGGGTATTACAATTCCTCCCCCCTTAAAGAAAATTTGTCCTCAAATTTTCCATACATATCTTCATACATGTATTAAATAGATGAGGAAAATTTTCCTTCATATATTCTTCTCCTTCCCAAGTTGCTTCCTCAACTTTATGGTTCCACCAAAGAACTTTTACAAACGATATCGTCCTATTTTTTAATTCTTTGACTCCATGTGCTAGAATCCTTACTGGCTCCTCTTCATATGATAAGTCCGGTTGAATCTCAATTTCCTCTGGTGTAATCACATGTGAAGGATCTGATCGATATCTTTGAAGCATTGATACATGAAATACATTATGAATCTTATCCATCTCTGGAGGTAACGCCAACTGATAAGCTACTGGTCCAACTCTCTTTACACTCTCGTATGGTCCATGTCAGAACCGTCTTTCGGTTGGGTCCGAAATTGGGCTTCGACTTGAAATAATTGGTTAGAGTCGCCACCGATCATTTTTAAACATTTAGGTGGATCGAACACCGTCTTACATGATCTGCGTTACCAAAAATGTGTCGGGCTCGGGAGTTAGTTACAGTCAAGGAAATATTAGCACCCTTGAACTGCGTTACCTGATCTGCATTACCAATAAATTTGTCGGTTGTCTTTAATTACGAAAATTAAAATTTAAAAATTCAATTCAAATTACTTACCTTTGATTGGTTGAATTTTTTCTAAAAAATGTTAGATAAGAAATAATAAATAAATATTAAATAAATTAAGGGAAAAATAAAATTAAATAAAAAATTAAAATAGAAAAAAATAAATAAATAAATAATTGAAAACAATTGCAAAATTAATCGAACATGAAGAATGAAGCAAAACACAAATCATATCCGTCTAAAAGTCAATAAAAATGCGTAACAGTGACCGGATTAAACCTTAAACAAAAAATGGCATGGAGATTATAATGAACCTATGGTATTGACTAGGTTTCAAAAGGAAACTGCAAAATGACAGTTCAAAAGCTTCATAAAGATAACTTCAAAATAGTTAAGTAGTTCGTCCATGTGGCAGCATAAGCTTTCAACACAAAATCAAAAAGTGAATAAGCAGAATCCAAGTTATCATAAAATTCCCCGGGTTTATTCCGACAAAAATGCCATACCAAAGATCGTCCGTGATGAATGAAGTAGCTCTCTCTACCGCACCAAGATATACACCAGGGCCAAGTGTTGGAGACAAAGGATGGAACATTTTTTGATTTGGGTAATCCAAGTCAACTGCAACATGGCGATTTGTTGCTCATTGAAGCATGTGCATTCCAGTTTAGTTAGTGGAATTAGTGGCAGTAGTTTCAAATGCACCATTGGCAGCAAAAATTCCACTACCAGACATCTCTTTAATTTTGTAACCCGAGCAAGGCTTCCTTCTTTCCTTTGAACCACCATCGCTCCCGGCAACCCGAAGTTCGAGTCCACAGTGAATTCCACCGTTTAATGAACCCTTTCGAATTTAACCTTTGCCTTCTTCGACCAGTCCTTCAACACTGCTCCTTTGCTTTTCCTTGCAGTAATTTCTATGCCCATCTAGCTCACCAAGTTAGTTGGAATCGAATCCTCCTCAGTACCATGCAAACAGAAAATCAAATGAGTTATATATATATATATATATATATATATATATATATATATATATATATATATATATATATATTAGTCGATTGGAACAAATGGGTATAAGAACCCCAATCAAACTGTAAACAGGGGTCCCTCTTCCCTTCAATTTTACAGAAGCAAGC